TTTAAGGAGAAATGCTCCAAAATTCAACATGATGCTGCCGCGGCATTCGACGATTTCATCGCCTTTAGATCTCCGGACTTCTATGCGAATAAGATAAACAAACTTGCTTATCGTTTACAAAAGTGTGGCGATAGTAATGTTTGTTATTTCGACTGATGAACTTTTGTTTAAGCCGAGATATGTGCATTTGAAGTTTGAGGCGCAAAAACGCAAGAACTTTCTTCACGACCTAATATTTGAGTTGTTCTGCTAATTCGGTTCACTCCCCCTTCCCCCGGATAGTCCTAAATTCTTGGAAATGGAGTAAGCCGTTGGCGCAGGTGACGAGTGCTTGTTTCATTTCCTCTTAATTCCACACGTTGGCAGTTTGAGCATCTGAAGCGAAATCCCTGCTCTTTCTTCGTGCATTCTGTCGTAGTCATTCTTCCTTCATAGTTGGTCTTGCCAAGTCTCCTGATGGTTCTTCATAATCTCATCAAGGAAGGATTCCAAGTTTAAGTGGCCATTTGAAATGAGATTTATACTGCTTGACGTGTATTTGAATGCTTATTCAAACCTGCTTTCCAAATTTGCCATATTTGCTTAGCGATTCTCTGAACGAAGTTATGAGGGTGGTTTCATGTGAGACTTAACATAGGAGAACTTAAATTACATGGATGTACTTCGCTATTCAACGGTTGATTGGAACAGTGGTAGGGGTGTCGCTTCATGTGTGACAGACCAGAGTTCGGATTTTGTGGGAATCTGAGCTTTTGCATTATATAGGATTTTTCTCTTAAGGATTAGAAAATGCTGTCATGATGATTCACTCATGTTCTATTAACTTTTGGTGCTTTTGTTGTTACCTTCTCCTACTACCTACCTGTTACCGAGTGGACCATTCCTCTGTGCGCAAAATTTGGAGGTTCGGGCGAATAAAACGAACATGATGACCAATGTGATGCTAGAGTGAGTGCAATCGTGCGTAGCAGCTCCGGCCTCACTAACACAGACGCTGTTGGTAGTGGACCAGTGAATATCGTTCAAAGACCATAAAGCTGTTCAGACCGTCTTACCTCCACAAAAGCAGGTGAACGTTATGAACATCCTTACCACGAGGCTAATACAGCCGCTAAGTGTTCATTTCATCTTGCCTTTCGAAAATTTCTGATCCACTTTCTGAGCTCTTGGCGCCATCGCTGATCAGCAGATCTCATCGAAAGGCGATGTGTAGACCGTGGATTAAAGAGAGTACTCTATTTACCAGTCGCTGTGCCATGGTAGGTAAAGTATCCTTCCTTGTGCGCACAGACATAGCCTTGCCATCTCGAAATTCTTCAATTCGGTGGAATCTTAACTAATCGTTACTTCTTTGTATTCCTTCACCGCATACTTTTCTATTTCATTGCTTTTATTAGGTCGTGAAGAAAGTTCTTGCGGTTTCGCGCCTCAAACTTCAAATGCATATATCTCGGCTCGAACGAAACTTCATCAATCGAAATAACAACCATTACTATCGACACAGTTTTGTTAACGAAAAGCAAGTTTGAGTATCCCATTCGCATAGAAGTCCGGAAATCTAGAGGCGATGAAGTCGTCGAATGCCGCGGCAGCATCATGTTGGGTTTTGAAGCATTTCTCCTTGAGAAAGCGTCGAGAAGTTTAAAGAAATGATAGTTTATGGGAGCAAGGTCTGGGGAATATGGTGGATGCGGGAGAGCTTCGTAGCCTAGCTCCATCAATTTTCTCAGGGTAAGTTGTGCGACGTGAGGCCGAGCGTTGTCGTGGATTAGAATTGGTCCCCTCCTATTCACCAGTGCCGGGCTCATGAGCTGGAGTTTTCGATGCATTTCGTCAATTTCTTGGCAGAACTTTTCGGCTGTTACGGTTTCTCCCGGATCCATGAAGCTGTGGTGGATCAGCCCGACTGCAGACCACCAAACAGCACCATGACCTTCTTTCCATGCTGCTTCAGCTTGGGAAAATGTCGTGGGGCTTGATCCTTGTACAGCCGCTGGCC